AAATTTTCAGCCATATACTGACTCCGGTGTAAGTCAGGAAGGGGAAACTGTGGCCCCGTGTCATTTTTGGCCAACCGGGGGGTGGGGGGGGGTCTCAGGGCATTCTGTGACCATATTAAATTCCAGTGCTTTTTTTTTCTCCTTTAAGGGACTCGTGGAGGTATAAAAAATTTTGACAGATTTAAAAGAAGAATACAAGATACACTATTATAAGATTAGATGGCCATACTTTCTGTTTCATTTGCAAAGTTGTGCCCAGCTCAAAACACAGCCACGGAACTGCATTGGGGTAATGTTCCAGGGTAGTGGTCATATCCATTAAATCTGCAAAGATTATTATTAGCACTAAAAATAATAGATAGTCTGAAAATTTTGTGAAGGAAAGTGACATCGTCAAACTCTAAGAAACGAGAGTATGGAGATGAAAACAGAAATTTTAAGCCAGAGTGGGGGGTTAGATCTTGCATTTACCGTTAAAGGAGTTAAACCTTTGTGCCTTGGCTGCAATGTAGTAGGCAGCCACCAAACAGAGATGTACTATCTCCTGGTTAAATATTGGAAGCTTAATGTGTTGTCTACTGTAATGGTAGACCCTGCTGCCATATGGCATCACGAAAATTGTGACCATGTCCCAGGTTGCTGATCTGACATTCTGCCTCATTTACACACAATTGCAGGGTCTCAATTGTTTCTGTTACTTTGACAACACGATATACATATATTGTTTCTCACTTTTGATATTTTTTTATTATTATTAATACTATTATCAATATTTTTTCATTATTTTTATTTATTTATTTATTTTTATTATGAACTAGCGGAATCACTGCCCTCCGGGCGGCTCTTTCGCTAGGCCATGGTAGGACGCTACCCTCCGGGAGGCTCCACATTGTCTCACTGTCGTGCATTAAGGTAGACCACATTTTTGGTTTTGCCATTAGCAGCAAGTAAGTACAGATTTTTGCCAGTTCCCACTCTGGAGCATCCAACATAGAACTGTCCATGAGAGAAGCAAGGAAACACCGGGTTTAGGCCAACCATCTTTAGGGACTGTCCCTGGCTTTTGTAGATGGTCATGGCAAAGCTCACTTTAACCGGGAACTAAAGTCGCTTGAACTCAAATGGCAGGTCAGTGGTGATGAGAGGTATCCTTAGTATAAAAGCATCCTCTCCTTTAGCTTTTCCTGTCAGTATTGTAGCTTCCAGTACATGTGGCATCATGTTCTTCACCACCAGTCTTGTGCCATTGCAGAGGATTGGTGGTTCAAGATTTCTTAAGAGCATTATAGGAGTTCCAATCTTGAGAGTGAGGTGGTGAGGAGGCATTCCAGCGGGCTCCAAAGAATTCAGGAATTCTGCAGGGTACTGGACAGCTTGGTCCTGGTCGATTACTGTATCAACAGATTTGAATGAGGTCTCACTGCCTGGAAGCTGTCTGAGTAGAGTCATGTTGATTTCAGCTACTGTTTCATTCTTTGGTGCCAGAACTGCGCGTTCACGCAGCCACTTGTGATCCTTGTAGTGGTGGATAATGTTTGGGTAGACCATGTTAGTGAGCTCAGTTGAGTACTTTACAACATTTCCACATCCTTGAGGAATGATTATTTGTCCTTCTGAATCAACATGGAAAGTTCCATTCCCAATCTGTAGTAGAAGGTTTGCAAACTGTCCAGCATCCTGATCTCCTTGTAGATGTACTCTCATGTTTGTGGATAGGGCGAGTGTCTGAACACTTCTCCAAAGGTATGATGCCTTGAGGGACGCATTCAGTTTATCAGCTGGAGTGCTTCGAGGACTGACAGGGTCTGGCAAAAGTCTCCAGCAATGACAATTGTAATGCCACCCATGAGCTGGTCATTTTCTCGTATGTCTTGCAAGGTCCTGCCAATGCTTCAAACGCTAACTTGTGAGACATAGTGCATTCATCCCAGACTATGAGGCTGCATTTTTCTAAGAGTTTTGCCTTTGCCGATCCTTTTTGATGTTGCACACTGGATTCTCATTGTGAGCGAGGTTGAGAGGCAGTTTAAAAGTTGAGTGTGCAGTACGTCCTCCTTCTAGTAGTGTTGCACGCCACCCTCCAGCAGGCTCCACATTGTCTCACTGTTCAGTCCCCAAAACTTCTTCCATCAATAGTTCATTAACGGTGTATGTAAGTTCCACTACAACGGCACAGCAAAGTATATTTTTTTAGCATTAAATTGTTATTATTTTATTGTCTAATCATCACTATATATAACACCACCCATCATCACTACATATAACATCATCCATCAATACTACATATAACACCATCCATCATCACTACATATAACACCATCCATCCTCACTACATATAACACCATCCATCATCACTACATATAACACCATCCATCATCACTACATATAACACCATCCATCATCACTACATATAACATCATCCATCATCACTACAGTACATATAACACCATCCATCATCACTACATATAACAACATCCATCATCACTACATATAACACCATCCATCATCACTACAGATCAGTAAAGTAGTTTCCGAGATCCTCGTGCGGACACACACACAAACAGACATACTTCTTTGTTTTATATAGCTTTATTATCATTATTATTATTACCGTATTACATTTTCGCCCCCCAGGCCCTGATGTAGGTCAGTGACTTGTGCCTGGTTGGGCTAATCCCAGAAAAAAAAAAGTTTCAATAGCATCATATGTAGTACTAAAATAAGAAATATAAGCATGTTTCATTATATATACAAACAAAATACCCGGTATTTAGTTTTCTTTCCCATGTAATATTCACTCATTTGGTTTTGTTTTATTTTTAGTTTTAATTGCATCAGCTAGTTTTTTTCAGAGGTAGTAAACACTTCTGTTTTTGTTGCTGGAAGGCCTCTCTGTTCTTCTTTGTTTTTTGAGCTACTGTATTTCCTCACACTCAGTTTTCTTTGATTTTGTTTCTTTAACAAAAATTTCCTCTCATTTTCTTCCTTCCACAACCTCTTCTACTTTAACATGCTTCTATACCTACTGCTGGAGAGTTTTATGTTCCTACGCATCATAGGGTTGGGGTGCCCTACAACCCTGACCTGGGGGACACACACATGCCCTACAGCCCTTACCTCCTGGGGAACACATAGACATGCCCTACAGCCCTTACCTCCTGGGGGACACATACACATGCCCTACAGACCTGACCTCCTGGGGTACACACAGGCCCTACAACCCTGACTTCCTGGGGGACACATGCTCTACAACCCTGACCTCCTGGGGGACACACACATGCTCTACAACCCTGACCTCCTGGGGGACACACACATGCTCTACAACCCTGACCTCCTGGGGGACGCACACAAACATGCAATACAGCCCAGACCTCCTGGGGGAGACACACACACACACACATACCCTACAGCCCTGACCTTCAAGAAATACACATACCTCACAGCCCTGACCTCCCAGGGATCACACACATATGCCCTACAGCCCTGACCTCCTGGGGGACACAGACACGCCCTAGTGAGTTGCCTATACAGCTATGAAATATTGTATGGGTTATAGAATAAATTGTGATCATCAGAAAGTGTAAAATGATTATAGAAACTTGGTTATATTGAAAAATGCTTAGCTTAGGGTGGCTCAAATGGATCGGGTTTAGGGGCATGTTATAATGCTTCTAATAGTGGCGTTGTATGACGTCATTGATTTTGGTCAATGAAATACTAAAGAATTGAAGACTGGAATGCAAAACAACCAATACTCAGCCAATGAGAAATAGAGTATACGATGTAATGCATGAACATGTCAAGTGTGGCCACTATACTCGGTATACTGGCTCATCGTCCTCGCGTGGTAGACCCATCGACCCTAGAGGGTCAATTATTGTTATTTATTGTCAAACATTTCTCTTGTCATGGTCATCCTCCCCACCCCCCCAAATCGCAACAGATCTACGCGATTCACACTGGTTGCCTAAAACGATGGAAAAATGGAGAAATCACCTCCGTGACTACTTCATAATGAAGTTTGTTAAGTCGAGGCATTATGCAACCCTTACAAATCATCTGATGGAGCTAATTCATACAGCCTTGACAACTTATCAGACCTCAACTAGCAGTACATAACCTGATAATTGAAACAATATGTTTTAACATCAAATAATGTTATGATAATACAGGGGGTCCCCGGGTTATGAACGGGTTCCGTTCCCGAGAACGTTTTTAAGTCGGATTAGTATGCAAGTTGGAACACATGCTATGTGCATACCGTACTTACAGAACAATGTTTAAAATCCCACTATATCGTAGCCTAAGTCCTTGTCTACATCTTATATCACTTACTTTAAGAGAAAAGGAATAGAATGACAACATGCAATAGATGAAAGTAAATAATAAGTCATCAGGTAAATAAAATACTGTACTGTAAATTTCAAGTTTCACCCCCATTCGTATCGGCGGATGTTCAGAAGTCGGGGACTCCCTGTACTGTAATTTTTTTTAAGGTGGTATCTGATTATAATCTCTAATTTAATTACATTGCCCCTCTCGCTTAACACAGGGGTTGCATGCTAAAACAAACTGTGTATTTATGTGCTTTACATAGGTATGATGCCATATAAAAAAAAAAAAAAAATTATTTAAAATATGGGAGTTATTAAAACCTGTCATATGACAGTCCGATTCACCCCGGTCAATGCTAATTGTTACCTCAAATAACTACTGTATTGTATATAGATGTATCAGGCAAACAAGATATTCATATCTCTGCTGGAACAAAAAGGCAAGTACAGTACTATACAGTAATGTACCGAAAGCTGAACAATAGGCTTTGGTATCTAATCCATGATGTATGGATTTCAACCCCTAGAAAGTACTGTACATTACAGTACTACTTGTACTTGCATTAATGTTATTTCAACTTTTTTCACTAAAAATTTGGTGTTATAACTCATACTATTGTATATGGTGTATATAACAGTGTGGTGAAAGGATAAAGAAACCTTTACTTTACACATAAAATTGTATTTTATACCAATGATAATAATGACAGTGGGGCAAGTTGGAGCTCACTCCCCCAACGATCACTCTGTCACTCTTGCACCAACATTCACACAGCACATAGGCTAGAGCAGCTACCCATAACAAACACAAGTGTGATATGGTGTCAAACAAGAAAATTATCACAACAGTACAAGACACTTCTAACGTAATAGAACAGACAGGATTTTTGAGTGTATAAAATTAAGTGACCAACAATGTTAAGTTAAAAGAGTTAACAATGAATACTGTCCAAAGTTATAAAGAACACCACATATAAGAACTATTGTCAGGTTCATAGAAAAATCCTTACAAAGATGATATGGTTGTTTAAAACTTAAAAATCTAGGTATTACAAATTGATCGTCAAGAAGACATACTAATTGAGGGAAAATATAATCTTTAACTTTTTTTAAATTAAATAAATAAATAATAAGTTTTTATATAATGTATTTCTTTATATGCTATTCAGAGTATGAACACGATACCACTAACAAACAATCAATTAATGCCTCCTCGTTTACAACTCATGTAAGAATTTTTCCTAAGTAATATCTAGTTATTTACTTTTTATATTAACCATATGACCCCTAAACCAATATGAAATTGTTTTTGTCTAGTTCTCTTTTCATATGTAGAAAATACTGAACAAGTTTTTGTTGACTACAGATATCGGTAAAAGTATGGGTGTTTCTGAGAGCATGTATGTGTGTGAGTATGCATGTGTGTAAAAGTGTGTAAGACTGCACACATGTACAAGTGCAAGCAAGCATGTATGTGCATGCATACATAATAATTATGTTATGGAGGCTTGGGTAATAATAGAATTATTTAGCTTCCATGCTTCTGTACAAAGTTGGCCACAGTGTCATGTCCATGAGAGTGATATAAGAATGATCATCATGACAGTAATTGAGCAAGGAAGAAAGGGAGCTGCCACTAGACCCACGGCAGACTGAGACCTGTAATCTGTCTACACTATACAAACCTACTCTCAATTATTTCATGTGATTGCATCCAGTCATCTTATTGCAGTGTCAATAATTTCATACAAAGAATATTTGTAAGATAAAATACCAATAATTATTTAAGTTAAATAATGGAATGAGAATCAACAACTGTTTTATAAATGTCAGTGTCATTCATAACCTGATGAAACTCCAGCAAATACTCTCTGTCTACAATACTGCATAGTCAAAAATTTGTTTACACAAATAAAACTCTACATATAAAATGCTAAAATTTTCTTGTAAAATACAAATTTCTTAAAAAGTTTAACAAAACTGTAAATCTTCACACATTCCACTTGGTAGACAGGTAGGCAGGTCAGAATTAACGAGACGCACATAAATAGATTGCTCCACACACACCCTGGCTGGCGTAAGGCTGTCCCAACCTCAGAAGAATGCATAAAAGTGCATTAAGTTTTGTCTTCATTCTCAATCCCTTTGACCTGACTGGGCATCCTCAGGCAAATTTCTGATATCTTTGGCTGCAGCATATCAATGCTTTTAATATCCCATTACTGCAAATATTGCAAATACCAAGGGACAAAAACAGCACTGTTGTTCATTATCATTGAAAAAAAAAATAAAATAAAGAAAAAATAATGGAGGAAAAAGAAAAAAAAAGACCATAATATTCCCTAAACAACGTTTGATGGTTATAATGCTGGTAAAACAGAATCCTGACAGATGACACCAAGACTGCAGCTGAGGGCTTTGGGAAGAGATTACTGTACTTAGCTGCCTGATTGCCCAACTCCTGAGGTCCTGGGACGAGTGAAGCCGATACTTGCCATGGAAGGTTTCTGCCATCTTCCACTTGGTTATTCACCATTTTTTAAAATACACTCCTTGTACAAATGTTTCATTTGTAAAATACTTTCTTTAAACTATCTAACCTTATATTCTACTTGATTTTTTATGTTTTTTCAAGTTAGTCTCAAAATAAACAATTGAATTTACTGACAGAAATATTTTACATCACAACCCCTCCGTTTGCATCAAGTTGGGAGGTGGTTGCATCAGGGGGAAAATACTTAACTTGTATAAACAGTCAGGAGGTGTAAAACTTGTGTCTCACTGTACATGTAACCTAGATTCTGTACACAAGAGCAGTGGGGGGAGAGGGGCTGGGGGAGAGGTGGGGGAACCTGTGTGCCACTGACATGCTGCTGCCTACCCATACTCCCTTTTGGAGCCACCTGCCATAGTATTTATGTACAATTTGGCTACAGGTGTAAGAGGCAACATGTACACATATAGGTACAATTAACATTGTACACTATTCTTGAGAGCCTCAGGGCAGTAGCATATCAGGGCAGATAAAGATCTGACCCACCCAGCTTGTACAACACCACTGCCTATTTACATTATTGAAGTGATCAGCATCAGGCTATGCTGAAACAAGTGTTAATAATAAAAAGGCATAAATATCCAATTATGAAGTACAATCAATCTGTTACTCATTATCACAGACAATCCTGCTTGGATACTAGTCACTAACAATGCACTGGTTTACTGCGCCCAGCCCACGATACCAATGGCCCACTTAGTTTTGCTCTGGCAAACAATTCATTGTGTGATTCCAAAATACATCCAGCATTGTGAAAAATGAGCATTACTTTACATTGTCATATCTTCCCAAACTTGTGCTCCTCAAAAATTTATCCACCCATTAATTTATATCTCTGTCCATTATCATAAGGCAGGACTGTTTTGATTGCATTGTGGTGGACTTCTGGCCATAATAAGTTAAGTATATACAGTGATCTTTGAGATAATGCAAGTTTTGTGAGGTAAGACCTTCCTTTTGAGCATTAAAGAACAATTATGCATCAGCCCTATTTTAAATAATGCTTTGGTTCAACTGCTATCTGCTAATCTTCATACACTTGTCATTAAACAATCTGCTTTACAACAATGAGTAATTCCTTGGTGTTTACTTTCCACATCCACCCAGGCACTGGCATGCTGTATACTCAAATTACAAAAGTAAGTATACTTTGGCTAGTGTATCAACCATTAATACCTAATACCCATTTCAACAAATTGGGTCTTTAGTATTTGTGAAACAGTAGTTATTATCTTTGCCAAATTTCTAGACATAATGCCCTGCGTTAAATTTTTCTAAATGAAAAAATCGACTTTTTAGAGATTCTATGATATTTTTTGGTCATTTATAGAATCTTAAAATATTATAATACATATTACAATCAAATATGAATACAAAAGTATATGCCTATTTGAAACAGCAACCTTGCATATATTTAACAGACATGACCAATTTTGTGTCAAGGGCACTTTGTCATGCAACTATGTGGCCTAATAGTATCTCTTCATGTAAAGCCCATTAATTGCACCAGAGCTAGTAATAAAATGATTTAAACAAAATAAATAATCAAATTACAAAAATAAAAAACAACGAGGCCAAGCATCCTCAGGGTTCATTGGTCGGCTATCAAACAAGGGCTGCCATAACATTGTAGAGATGAGACAGAACTTGCATGTGTAAGGGCAGGCATGATCTTCTGTCCTGTTTAGCAGGATCTAGGACTAGCCAGGAGAGCCCATTGTAGCCTTCAAGAACATATCTGAAAAATAAAAATAACTCAATATATTGATTCTTTAATATGTTGGTTTTTCTTCTTCACTTTTTAGTGTAGCTTACTTCCCTCAATGGACATTTACCTTTCTTATGCATTCCTGCCCTAAGACTTCTATCTTGATTTTTTTTTTAATATTACACATTTACTCTTATGCTTTCCATAATTGGTGAAAGAATGTTTATTGATCCAATTAATTACCCCCTTGCTAAACATGCACTCTCATGCAGTCATACCATACACCTCTCATCCTTATTGTCATTACATTCTTCATAAAGTAAAGCTATCAACATTTCCACTTAATCCTCTAGTTATGTCAAGTACGTTACTTTCCACCCATGAAAAATTAAATGTTCTTAAATCTTTAAACCTCTATAGTTATTAAGTTATTCTACAATATATGCTGTACTGTACAGCATATTCTCTCATCACACAAATGATTAATGTGGGTGAAATCTTTATTAGCCTCTACATTTCTGAGATTGATCCACCAGAATTCTTTCTTATAGCTACATCTACTTATTCATTTCTTCGTAAACATATAACCTTTCCTTGTTACTTTTTGTGCCTATTTTTATCACTTGTTAATATTTTTTAACAAGCAAGTTCTTTCACATTACATGAAAATATTAATCAGTGTTGTTAGAACTCTCACCTGAGAACATCAGTGGTGTATGAAGAATCCAATGGGTGGACCTTGTTATTTGTGCTATGCAAGAAATCATCAGACTGTGTAATTCCTGGAGAATGGAGGTGGAGGGCTGACTTGAGAAACACTGGGCAAGATGATTCAAGATGTGGGCAGGACGACCAGAACCACCTAGGCAGCCGTCCAGTGGAGGCTGTCGACACATAATATCCAAGAGCCAGAGGTTGTTGCAAAACAGAACCACCAGAATCTTCTTGGGGGTCAACTAAAACAACCCCATTACTACGCGCCTGTCCAGAAAATTGTGAGGGACTTGTTCTACCCCCTACCCCAGTTGTGGGGCTACCAGGCTGAGAGAAGGAGTCCCGCTGGCCACTCCCATCTTCCATTTGGTCATCTTGATTTGGACCAGTATCAAGATTGAGAATATCATTTATGTTTAGTCCTATTCCAATGCCAATATCACCCATACCACCACTCATGTCATCCTCTAAAACTTCATCGTGCAGTAACAATTCTGCACCTTCAAAGTGGAAACCTTGCTCATCGTGGAATCTCTGCTGTGCTGACTGGAACAAGAAAAAATAAAAGTTTAGAAATCCATAAATTGTAAAACTAAGTACTGTACTGTATAATATGTCTTTGCATCTTACTGCATAATTGTGCAACATTTGTGGTATTCACTGATGAATGAATCGTGTAACTAAAGCCCCTTATGCAAATAGTAATACTGTAGAGTGGTCCCTCGGTTAACGAGCACAATCCGTTCTAGAAGGTTGCTCGTTAACCGAAACCATTGTTTCAATGGGTTTTTGGGTAATTGGTTCCAGCTCACCGAAAATTGCCTAAATTCAACAAAAAAGGTAGAAAGGTACACTTACTTTGAGGTGTGTATGTAGAAGGCTCCTGGATGATGATGGGAATTAGAATGGGGGTGGAGGAGAAGGGATAAGAGAAGGCATTGGGGTGGAAGAGAAGTCACCCCATGGCGCCATTTCACCCATAAAATTTTAGTTCTCTTGGTGTAATTCAAGATTATTTTCTTTAAATCAACACTGCACTGCATTATATATTGTCAATATGCAAAATAAACTTCAAAATGACCAATAATTTGCTTGTAAACACAGAAAAAAGCGTTTAGTTGAAGAGTCTCAAGCAAGATGTTACCTCCACTGAAAAGACAAAAAGACTGACGCCTGTATGCTGTGTTGGCAGGCTGGATGGCGTGCCACAAACTAGTGACCCTACCTTTAATTTTCAATGATTGTTAAAATGACTAAAAAATTTAATATTAAACTTTTAAAATTATGGAATAGTATAAACTTCTTGATATTTGCTAAAAGGGTAAGGAATTTAAGCCCTAGAACCGATTACTGTATTGGCGGACTAATACTACAGCTGGTGGACCGCCAAATGCAAGCTAAAACTTGTGGAGGTCGGCTCGTAAGAAACTCGTTAGTCGAGGGATTGCTCGTTAACCGAAGTTAAGAATCTTATGGAAGGTAATTCGTTAACCGAAATCTCGTTAACCGAGGGACCACTGTACTGTATACTGTATCATTATTTCCAGCCTTTCTTAGGGGGTTCAATACCTCTAGTTTCAACCCACATTAAAGTGGGAGAGGAATAAAGATAATTAATACAAAATTAGATATTTGTTATACATACCTGTGCTGTAGCAGATGTTGGGAAGACCAGTATATGAGTACAAGTGAGATCTTGTGGTGTGGACAGACTGCAGTTTTGACTATTTTGACCAAATCTCTCATCAGGGGTAAACATATCTGGCATCATCCGAAATGAAGAATCAGGCTCCATGGAGACTAAGCATGCAGAGAGTATACACGGTGCATCTCCAGGAAATAGATAAGCACACTGTTTACACATCTCCTTAAGATTCTTTGATGCTTGGGTTAGAGACTTCCGTGAAAGTAAGGAAGACCAACCCTTCAATTCTCCATGACCCATTCTGCCCAGTCTTCCTACAACCAGTCGCCAGGGATGTATGCCAATGGACATGACAGTTAAAATCCAATCCATTAATTTTTTCAGTCCATGACGACGGGCAGAGGCTTTCTTTCTTCTTGTTCTACGAATAAAATCATGAAAATAATTAATACCTATACACCTCCTACTATCCCTACACTGTGATTGCCATGACCACAATCACTGCAGGGTGTGATAAATGCTAATAAGCATCCTGCTTACTGTAACCATTCTCAATCACTAAACAGGAAGCAAGGAATTCTACATTCTATTTTGCTAAAAATATGGGTGGATAGATAATATCATTCACACATCATAAACAATTTAAAGTGAAGTGAGAAAAATTAACGGTTGAGAAATAAGCAATAACAAGAGTAACTAGATAAGATTAAAGCCGAGGTCACACAAGACCTATTATGATCAAATCAGCCTCCAAATTTCTGTCTTAAAAAACTGTTAGTGCATTTTGTACATAATGTTATTAACCACATTTTGTACATAATGTTATTAACCAATGTTATATATTTATGTAAATACTTGACAAATAAGCGTTATGCCATTAAATATAGTATTAGCCACGTTTTAACCTGGGAATCTTGCTCGAAATCATCAAGAATTGACATCATGATTGAATGTCAGAAAAATTTTTCAAATTAACTTTTATTCCAGAAATTGCTCATAAAAGACCTCAAGTGACTGTGGCTTAAGTTGGTAAAATAAATCACGGGGAGGGAGAGAGGAAGTAGCAATATGAAACAATTAAACAGTAGTCGGTTGCATTATCTTTTTTACAAGTGAAAACTGTATAAATTTGTTACAGTTTTCACTTGTAAATGTAAAATGCAAAGATGTCACCATTACCTTGAGCAACGACGATCGTGTCAAGAGATGTCAATACCAAGAGCTTAATGAATATACAGCCCATTATAATCATAAATACAGACAAATATTTGACTGCATTATTTCTATCATAATACTACTATATAAAATAATCATGTCCTGGTCAGCAGAAACCTACCTATTAGGGATTTCTATGCTGATGGTAACAGTTTCTAAGATTTCTCCCAGTTCATCTGTAGCTGTTGCCAGTAGCCATCTTTGATCTTCAGACAAACAGTAGGTGCAGTTTAGTATGGTGGACTTCTCCTGTGGTACTCCTAAAGCTTCTTGAGCTTCTTTGTAGGTACCACGACTCTCCTTGATGGGAGCCAAAATATATGCAGGAGAGAAGATATGATATGGAGCCAAACGCTTTTCTTCCACAGCAAGCTGTTAGGAAAAATAACAAAAACAATGTTAAAATAATAACACAGTAGTAATATATGAAACTTAAAGAGAAAATAAAATAAAATGACTGTAAACTTTACCATAAACACTCTCCTCATCACAATATGTGAAATCCCAGTAATATTTTAATTTTTTCCTTATTTGAGCACAAAAGCCCCTTCCCAATATAAAACTCTGACCTTGAATTTCTTTGCTCTTCCTTGGCAAACATATAAATTATCTACCAATACAGTATCCATCAAGAGTGTTACCTGTACACCATCTTACAAATACCGGTACTGTACAGTGCAGTACTGGTATTTGTTCACTCATGCACAATATTGCAATATCATAAATAATATTCGTTTATATATTCTGTTTAGGAGAAAAAACAGAATAGATATTGATGAATTGAACCAGAGCAGTGGAAGGAAATAAATTAATAGGTGGCCTGAAAAAAGCATGGAGAAAGAAAGACCCATGTTAAAGGAAGCTGACATAATTTAACACTGATGTCAATTACCACAGGGTCTACATTTTATAGTACAGTACTAGATGATATCACAGGGTCTACACTTTTTATTTGCATGCCATATATTTAAACTTTCCAATTTCTATGTTATGCTGAGGGCTTCCACTTCTCTATAGAACCTATTGTAGCCACAGTCTTAGTTTTGAGTATTTTATAATTTTTACATTGTTTTATTGTTAATCACAGTGTACATAAAGTAATTACTTTTTTATTTACCATGTTAATGATTCTGTACCAACAACAATCAACCATAATATTTGGCTGAAAGTGGGCTACTGTATTTTCTGCCTTATAAGATACTCAATGTCTCCAAAACTCACTGTGCACCTTACGAAGCAAAGGTTAATCCTTTGAGGATGAGAACACTCACTTAAAGCAAAGGAGTAGCCAAGGTTAACCAGTCACCTAATGAAAAATCTTTAAACAATTTATTTTTTACCTCAAAAATAAAAAAAAGCAGGTGGAGGAATACCACATTTCCTATTCAGATTTTCAATACCACTTTTTCTCTTATTTTTTTTATAAAGATAAGGTGAAGAAAGACGCCAATGCTGGTGCCTGCACTGCCGCCATCTTTATTAACATGAACATCAGCACTGTTCACTTGGGCAAACCCATGCACTATGTAAAGATCGGGTCAGCTGCAGGGTGTAGTGAAAGGTCAATCAGGTGACCTCTGGAAATGTTGATAAGGGCAGTGGCTTCGGCCACCTTGTTTGATGGCTGAAACCACTGCCCGTATCAGCATTTCCAATCTGTTTCCTTAAAATGGAGCAAATACTTACTGAATCACATTGTAAATATATTCTAGAGTAATAATTATACAGCAAGTCGGTGATGTAAGTCGTAGATGCGTTCCAAAAAAAGTGCGATGTTATTCCAAGGGCACATTTTCAGTAGGCCGAATACTAACCTTTTTAGTGAACTTCATACAGTGGAGCCCTCTTATTAGCACAAACCAGAGCAAATTACTAATTTAAAGAGTTATATGACATAATAAAGTACTATGCAGGTTTAAAATAAATGAAGTTTTATAACAAGTATTGCAAGACTGTGCAGTATAAACCCCAGGTTCTTCAACATATCCTCTACAAATAACCTTCACTCCTTTGTGCTGTAATAGTGCTTAGTCCACACCTGTCACTGCCATTTAGGGTTATCTAATATACCATAGGAATAGCCGTGTGTCTGTCTGTCTGTTCTGGCCAGCCGAAACGGCACAATCGTTTTTCATCAAACTTGTGGAAAAATCACAAAAAATTCGTAGAGTGGAACAAACCTGGTCCCATGTCGATGGTTTCTTTAGGAAGGCATTAATTAACCATTTTATTTGCGCTGGAAAACTATGCAAGTCTACGGACACGGCTCACCCTCATTCGCTGTACGCTGTCAGCCGGACGGCGGTTGCGCGCTAGCCAAGCACGAGCATTCAAATTTTCACCGGGCACGAAGGGCCCGCGATCACTTGTGTTTTATGCTACAGGTTGTACCTCTCTAGTCCGGCATTCTGTGGTTCGGAAACTCCCGTGGTCCGGAACTATTTTAGTTTGTCCAATAGGTAGATAGGCAGCCTCTCTCTCTCTCTCTCTCTCTCTCTCTGTCTCTCTCTCTCTCTCTCTTTTCTTTTTTTTTTCTTTTTTTTTTATAACTTATCTGAATTATTATTATTATTACAGGAGTATATTAAATTTTCGCCCCTCAGGCCCCAATGTTGGTCAGTGACCTATGCCCGGGTGGGCTAATCCCCGTAAAAAAAAAACAAAGCCGCGGGAAATTAAGGTTTGTTTACATCCGGCAGTTCGGCTGCTCTCTCTCTCTCTCTCTGCTTGTCTATACAGAGTACAACATTTAACCCTTCAATATATACGAGCAGTAAATAAGTGTTGCTTTCATAGTCTTATGTAGAGTAATGACGATATGTTTTCACATGTGCACACTTACATACGTGCAGTCTCACTTTTTTTTCTTCACCATTAATGGTTAGCTACTTATATTGTTCCATTTATTAACATTAAATAACATTACTTCAAACAACCATATTAAATTTTTTACATTAATTTTACTACAGCTACAATCAGGGTCTTATTTTCTTCAGTTTTATATGTAGAACCAATCAGTCACGGGTTTTGTAAGCATTAACGAAAACAATGCCAGCAGCCATCTCGTCTCCTCGTGTGTTTTAATATTCCATGTATTATTAATGAATTGTATTGTTCATTTTGCACACACAAACATTAATTCAATAAAAAAAAATTCAGAAACATTAATTAAAATATATATGAATGTTAATTAAGTGTTGCTTTCATTTTCTTATGTAGAGTAATGACGATATGTTTTCACGTGTGCACACTTACATACGCGATCTCTCTTTTTTTCTTTACCATATCATTAGTTACTTCTATTGTTCCATTTATTAACATTAAATAACATAACTTAAAACAACCATATTAATTTTACTACAGCTACAACCAGGGTCTTATTTTCTTCAGTTTTATATGTAGAACCAGTCAGTCACTGGTTTTGTAAACAACGAAAACAAAGCCGTCTCGTCTCCTCGTGTGTTTTAATATTCTACGTATTATTAATGAATTGCATTGCTCATTTTGCACACAAACATTAATTCAATCAAAAAGACATTCAGTAATAAACAATAATGAATCCTTTGTACATTAGAGAAATGACGCTGTTTACACGATTGTGCACATCTGAACGTTGGTGAGCCGTTCAAACCCGTCGAAATTCGAGTTTCCGCCTTCAAAATTTTTAATTGTTTTTTTTTTTGGTGTGCTCCAATAAAAAACGTTGAATTAAAAACTCACAAAATTTGAGAAGCTACTGTATGACATTTAACCCTTCAATATGTCTTCAAAGAGACCACGAAGCAGAAAAAGTGGTGCTAGTGCTTCCAAGCGTAAGCACAAGTCACTATCTATCCAGGAAACGGGTGAATTTCCATGGTCCGGAAATTTCCATGGTCCGGCACCGGTCAGGTCCCGAGGTTGCCAGACTAGAGAGGTATAACCTGTATAAGCTTTTATATCACATGGAAATGGGAAAACACCTGTACATATGTGATGGGTTATGAGGGGAACTGGTTAATATTGACAAAAGATACTGTCTATTAACTTTATATCTCTCCCAGTCTTGTGTGAAGTTGGCCAAGTATTAGAGAATCCTCAAAAAAAGGCAGGAAATGATATAAAGGGAGGTGCTTGATGAGTAGAAAATAAAAGGAAAGGGCCAAGACTAAATGTACACAAGTCTACAAATACACACTTGCTTACTGTCGAGATATAGATTAAAACGTATGTAGAACTTACACTTGCTTCCTTGGGCTTAAGAAATCCATCATAAACAGATGCAGGCCCAAAGCCCGTGAGTGATTTAACTACTGCATTATGGCTGAGAGTTCTTCTGCATTGCATGAACACTGAAAATGCCAATGACTTAAGTTGGTCTATGTGACGAGATCGGTCATGTGAATCACTGGCTAACTCGAGGATGCTTTCCAACGAAACGATCTGAAAGGAGATAAAAATTATTAACCAAAGACTATGATTGTATTCAAAGTATGGCTGTCAACACTTAACCATACAATGTATTATATACATTTTAGGATACATTTATGGTCCTTTCCATCAACCCACAAGCAACTAAACCCTTATAACTCTCAGCCAATATGTTTTATCACAAACTGAAAAAAAAAGGGATTTCAAATGTGAACGTAACTTTTCAAAGTGTGAATTTTTTTAAGTGCTTAATATCTTGCTATAAAACTTTATAAATGTGTGTGAAAAACAGCTGCCCTAAATTACAAAATAACTAAAGGTTAACCTTTCAAAATTAATTAAAAGTAAAGGTTAACCAAAAACTCAACTAAGGTCAAAATGTGTGCAATTGTACGTCACAGCATAGTTCTTGTGTTGCTAGTCATCATTATGCAGGTGTGCACTTTTTAAGTTTTAAGTCTATATCACCACGAGTGTTAAATTTAAGTAAATTTAGCACATATGGACAGAGACACACAACACTAATTAATGCCTCTTCATAGTTAGGCACAAAGAATCATATACTGTACTATGATATACCTGGAGATAAACATTATTCTGCATATTCTCTGGAAGTCCTTCCAACATATGTTCATAACAGCGGAGCAATCCTAGAGTGACCAGACGGTGCATATCTGGGTGGTCTTGTCCTACATTGAAGGGGTCCACTAGGTAAACCAGGATAGCAGGTGGAGGGGAATCATCCTCATCAACTTCGTTCAGACTAGCACCAGCTCCAAGAGTGATGGTTCCCTGCTGCTGCAAAGATAAATAATAAGTTCAATAGAGATAAGGTCAAAGTTTTGAGATCATTAGTCATTAATGAAGAAAGTTTAATATACAGTAATCATATTTTCCCCACACCACCTTTTAACTAAGTATAACTAATAAACAGTGATAAGAGGGACTTGAAGAAATTAACTGATATTGAAAAAGTCTGTCTACCCCTGCTCTGCGATAAGTCCTGCACACGTAAGAAATGTTTATCCCCTTTCAGTTGGTTTAAGTGCAACCACAGTGGCATGTCGGCAAAGATGAGACAGCCAGGAACGAGACAACAGGGGATGTGGAAGCAAGGGATAAAGCAGTGGAGGATGGAACAAAACATGACACTCAAGACACTGCCCACTAGCCTAGCACACTACCAGGTAATGTGTCGCTACATACATACATTATTATCATCATCCCAGTTTTCATATGTACCTTATTTATTTTGTGGAATATTGTACATGAATTGTGTATACAAATATTGCATTTTCTTTTTCAAGCTCTGTAGCATTTACCATAGTTTAATACAGTTAGTGGGCATTTTTGGTTCTTCAGCCCCAATTCCTATTTCCCACTGAAATTAGTTAAATGTGTTAGCTACACATTTTGTGTTAACAAGAACTTTTGAAGTACTTACTACACATGAGTGAATTACTCTATTCTAGAATTAAAATTTCAGTAATAACTTTAAGGATGTATTTATCCATACCGAGTTGGAGACTGTTGAAGATGAAGAATAGGTTCCTTCAGGATCAGAATTTGATGTTGGTGTAGTTGAGGCAGTGGTACTATTCATATTTTCTGATGACGGTGGAGGCATTGGTGAAGGAGCTTGCCTTTCACTGGATTTACTGGACCCAGGCACCTCAAAGAGACTCTTATCCATGTTCAGTGTTGCTAGGTGTGGTGCTAACCAGTGCCGACACACCTGCAAAATAAAGAGAACAATTTGAAATTATTGATGAATATTGACTTGAAGATGAGTGAGCTTACTAATGATGGGAAAAGTGAGAAAAAGGTTGAACAAATTAATGGAAGAATGGGACAGAGTGAAAGTGGAAGAGGTGTCCTGTGGTCAAACACCTCCACGTAAACTCTAGTTCTACTTCTTTCTCTTTCTCTGTACTAATCTTATGTCATCACCAGGTAAATTAGAAGAAATTGAACTTTGGCCACAGAACAATAAATTTGGACAGGTTGAATATGGTGATGGCAAAGGAAACAATGAGCTGGAGGAGAACATTTATCCTTGAGCATTTAGGCTGTTCCACTGAAGAAGACCAGTGTTAAGTCAAAACTCGTAAGGAATAAATTCTCTACTCCACCTCACTGTTTCCCTTGCCAACCTGAAGACTATATGGCACACCTATAACTTTCATTCTCAATTCCACAACACTATCAATGGGGTTCTATCTTATTTTATTTTAATCTCTCTCTGTGGTATCTAAAGAGATGGAATGGATCTGGCTAGAAAAGGAATGATTAGATGGGACAGCCTCCTGGAAGCTTCTCTGTTGTGGCCATCCCCTTAACAGAAGTTTTCAAGTTTGTATGAGGAATTGAACATTTACAGAAAGAGGAGGTGCTGTACTGTACAATGTTTCTGTAAATTCAATTAATTCAAATATCATTATCAACAGGGACTAACCTCCTTAAAAATAGTAGCATACTAAATATTCTACACCAAAAACTCTTCAATTTCATCTTAGTATGAAGGACCTACCCACACTGATATTTCACAAATATCTAAAACATTGTCAAGACTTGCTCCATACAAACAACTGAAAACTATCAGGCAAGTTTATCTTAAAACCTTATGATAACAGACAGGATAAAAAAAAAAAAAAAAAAAAAAAAAAAAAAAAAAAAAAAAAAAAAAAAAAAAAAAAAGATGAAAAATCTTACCTGGGCATAAACTTTGAGTTTGGTGGACATGTGAGAATCACCCAATAATGAGAACCATTCTTCTAAAGGTTCATTTGCTACTTTAGACGCTGCAGTTTTACTTATTCGCATGATTCCATTTCTTAACACTCGCTGGATGGGTGAGTGCCGACCCAATCTGCACAACTGTACAGGAAATAGTAAACATGAATACACTGTCATATAAACACAAAACATGCAGATAAATGGCAAAATTATACACATTGTTTTGATGACTTCAACAAATACAGTGTTGAAGATGTGTGGACCTGTATCTCCCTAAAAACTAGAAGATGCATTGAGGGACAACTGAGATACAGTCCTCAACTCTAATACAGGTGAGTATATGTCAGGAGGTGTGTTTTAATGTCCAAAGATACAAACTTGGAGACAGAAAAGTAATGCATCCCTCACTGATGCCAAAAGGATAAACTTATGAGATTCGTGTTTTTGAAACATATATGCCCTCACCAGTGCAAGAATCAGCCAAACAACTAAAAAGCATAAGCAGATACAGTAATTCCAATAGACAGAAACTAAAATAGATAAACTACCTGACAGTAATAGCTGGTACAAAATGTAACTGTTAGTAAGATATATGACAAGGAAATGGTATTTATTAATGAAACTTGGAATGTACAGTACCCAGCAAGTACACTTATTAGGGTTGTGACAAACTTTGTGTGATGAAGATATGTGTAACGAAACTTAAGTCACTGCACAGAAACCAGTGTGATGGAATGACATACGTTAAAGGCAAAACACATTTCGTTTTAAACAACAATGAAACAAAACTACAGATGTGAAGCTGAGACACTGCGTACAAAGCTTCAAACTGGTCTCAAAGGGGTATTAATCATCCCAAAACACCACACGAGACAAGGCTTTTGTGTTTGAATAATGCATAAGGTGGTAGCATAGTTGTTGAAATACTGTACCACAAAAATAATACAACATTACACCCAAGTCTAAGCCAAACAAGTTACACATCTATAAACATTACCAGGATACTAAAAAAAAAAAAAAAATTAAATCAAAACACTCTCCTCCACACCTCCCACTTAAAACACAACACACGTATTAAACTGAAAGTGATGAAATTATATATATATATATATATATATATATATATATATATATATATATATATATATATATATATATATATATATATATATATATATATATATATATATATATATATATATATCTACTAATCTTTATATAGCACCACAACGGTCGATTGGGTCACCTTACCCTCTGACCTGACTACTGACCATTGTGGTGCTATATAAAGATTAGTAGGGTCATTACCTAATACCTGACCATTGTGGACCTGGTCTCACCCTCCTCTGTATATATACACCTTGTTTTGTATTTCTCTTTAGTCTGTAATCACCCCTGAAGATGTGGATTACACGAAAGGGCTTGGGAACTTCGTGTTTTCTTCTTTCCTTGTGGTTATCAGCATATATATATATATATATATATATATATATATATATATATATATATATATATATATATATATATATATATATATATATATATATATATATATATATATATATATATATATATATATATATATATATATATATATATATATATATATATATATATATATATATATATATATATATATATATATATATATATATATATATATATATATATATATATATATATATATATATATATATATATATATATATATATATATATATATATATATATATATATATATATATATATATCTCCTTTCTGCTTGAAAGCAATACAAATTCTTATGGCTTCTTTCTCATTAACTTAAACATACTGTTCCTTCCCAGTGTTCAAGACAACCACATTGGAATAAATGAAAACACTCATGTGGAATAACAGAGTTTGTGTTTCTTAAGTTTATAGCATCTGTTCCCCCCTCCATTACAACTCATTGAATAAGAGATGCAAGTTAAAATGTTACATATCTATAAAGCAATTTTAGTTCCTACTGGTCACACAACTTCATGTTTTAACCTTTTTTATGGTTGCAATGTAGTAAGATATGAAGCAAGTATAAAGATATGATCACATTTTTTATTTTTGTCCATGCTGGCTACTGTATCTATATTACATGTCACAGGTAGTGTGGATGAAAAGAATACATGAATCATCCTAGTCTGTATTAAAGCTTACATGTTTGTATATTGTTTTTAGATTTTTTCTTGATTAAATATTAAGTGGTTCATAACTTATTTCACATTTAATAGTCCCAAAATAAATATTCCTAAAGTCTCTCCCCCCTCTCAGTCACTGACAGTTACACAATTGTTGATCAATGATAATTAAATTGCTACGTATAAAACATCACTCATTCTAAATATAAAAATACAGTAAACTTATGCTGCCAATAGAATGTCAGCCTCTAATTTTGACCTATTATAGAGGGAGATCAAATCATCTTTAAAAAATCAGAAGAATCATATACAGTGTATACAGTACAATCATAACATTGCCTGAATTTAGGAAAGAAAAACTTGCAAGGAAGTTTGAAGAGTGAAAGATTTAGAGGATAAGAAAAAAGTAGATTCTGCATAATGAATAATAGGTCAAGACTCTGAAAGGAAGGTTGGACTGTTCACCTTGCAGAGATGAGTGGAGTGGTTAGGCTGACAAATGAAGCACGGCAGTGGGCTAGCAAGTTAACATTTCTAATATGAGTGAGTTGTCATGCTCACACAATAAAGAAATGTTATAACATGTCAGTAAGTTATTGGATATCATGCTTGGTTGAGTGACAGTAATGAATCGTGTGAAAAATAGCATTCCAGTCTGAGAGCATAAAAATGATCATGGAAGCACTACTACTACTAAATATCCAGTCTTGAGGAAATCCTAACAAATCCCACTAAATTATGATACATAATACACTGAACAAGGTAATCTTAAATAGATTTGATAAGCTCTAATTGAACATAACTGTATTAGCATGGAATATGGCTCTTTAACCCTTAATTATTGGACACCACATTGTGAAATTTGTACACTAGAGACAAGTAAATGCACTGGCACATTTCCATAATCTTCTACTCTAGCCGTAAGTGGGATAGTGTAATATTTTTGTTTTATCAATTATTTATTCGCTATTGTTTGCAACATTTATGCCCTTATGAGAGTTTTAGAGGGAGATACACTACCATTGAGAGTGCAAGACACAGAAAATTTGAATGAGCTTCAGAATGTATACAATTAACATTTTTGTTTTTCGGCTGGTGGTGGTGTTCCTAGTGATCAAGCAGATGGCAGAACTTGTAAAAGGTATATTTGGTCTGCTTTGGCAAGTAAATACCATACATAAAACCACTTGGTACTTCATTTTTTAATGTAGTTCTTTGTAACAAAAAAAAACTGATACCCAATAGGATAAAAAGGCATTAAAAGTCAGTCAAATTGGTCCTTTTTAAGAATGGACACTTGGTACCATAACTAATTGCTAGTAATCCTGTCTCCCATATTGTGGCCTGGGTTCAATCCCTGCTGATGGAGGTTATGTGTATGCAACAAATGTTGTTTATTAACCCCCCCCCCCTATTCGTACTGTATAATAATTTTGTAAGTCATCTCTCCCCTCCTCCCCATTTAAGGTTGTAAGATATCACAATGTGTTGTTCAAATAATGTATTAAAAAAAGTAATATCACTTTCAAAAATATATACAATTTGTGGTTAGGTGACCTTTTTCATTCTCAAACATATGGTGGCCAAATATAGTTTGTGTATGCAAGGTTATAATATATTCCAAAATGTTGTACAATGATGGGGATAAGCCACCTCACTTGACAGCCCAAATTTCACTTCATCTAAAGATATTGCACCCTTATCTCTTGCAATATTTTCTTCAATACCATGAACAGTGGCAAGAATTATAAAGAGCGAGAGAGATTCTCCATTTACCCATCATCAGTCAATAATTCCCAAAGTTCTTTAATATCTACAGTGTTTCTAAGGTTCTGGACAAAAGAAATTATTACATATGTGACCTGCTAACACTTAGTTTTCTGGAGAAGAAAGAGTGGGAAAAGCTTGTGTGTGATCTGCTATCTCTTAGCTTTAGTCACATTCAAGGCAATCATTATTAGGAAAGGGCAGAAAAGGGAAGGAAAATTAGACATCACTGATTAAAGGTGATGTTTGATTTCAACAATAATTGAAGCTTACCAGTTTTCTTCTTACAGTACCAGAAATTAATTACAAAGATAAAATTTGTACATCAACTTAATACATGAACAATATCAACTAACCTCATTATGAAACTGTTGACTTTATGAATAAAATTACACAACACTCAATACTTCAAAAAACATATCACTAACCTCATATATTGAAGACAGTTCTTTGAAGAAGGTGCGTACATGATTGAGAATAAACTCGTTGTCTGGGGCAACCACAACATAGGCAACATTCCGCTGTTGAGAATATGGTTCTAGGAGTAACTTTTCCCAGTGTCGGAGTGATTGTGGTGCTACTGACAACCAGTCTCTATCATGACCAGTCAACAGCATGGGAATAGGCAATGGTTCAGCCATATCCTCGGTGCCTCTCACAGCCATACGATGAAACTGTCGCCAAGTGAGAGGACCATCAACACTGAACACTGGTTCCCAATTGACTCTTCTTCCTTTCTTTTGTATAGCTTCTTGTAAATGAGGCTGGAGGGCCTTCATGCACCGCACAATATCCTTAGAACATCTGGGACCATCAAACTGGTAATAGCACCATTTGTGCATGCACTGAAGTCTGATTGCTGGGGGGCCACTTTCACTATCACCAAGGTTTGCTCCCCTAGACTGTTCAACTGCCATACATGCAATTTCATTTCCATCCTTATAATCTACTAAGTTTAGCAAGATGTCTCGTCTAGTATTTTGGTACACTGTTGTTGATCTATATATAACACTAGATGGAGTACTTAACGTTACTAAGCACTGGCTTTGCAAGAGACGAAACATAGATTGAGGTATCTGATCTAGAATACTGGTTTCACGGTCAGGATTGTCTGCACCTTTACTGTCCATAAGCAAGAGCAAGGACTGTTTCTTGCGTTCAGTTGCTAGAGCCTCATGGAGGCCAGTAAGGTCCACTTCATCCTCATAAAACAACCCAGCCTGAAAGGCTAACCTTCTATTAACTATTGCAGAGAAACCACAATTACACTTAATACTTTCTTCCTCCACACTCAGATGTGTGGGTGGCAAATAGAGTGTTCCATCATTGCCACGAATATTGCCTACATTTTTCTGGATGTTATTACACACACACATTGTGCAAGAGTCAAAGTTGTGATCTCTAAACAGGTTGACACTAGAATCTTGCAGTGCAATATTAACAATGAGGGAATTAGCTTCAGGTACTTGGTTAAGCCCCAGTGTAGGAGGCTCTACCGACGGCAGTGTCTTGTTGAGGTAAGATGACTGATTGGACGCCGGTGATGGTAGTTCATAATTAATTGGCGGCCCCGCTGATGCAGGACCACCAACACTGTTAGGTCCGCGTTGAGACCCAGGACCACTGTCTGACACAGGGCCCCCAATACTGGATGGCATGGGTGATATGGGAGATATTCCCACCTTTTGACCATGGCCACCAGTAGGTGGGCCCCCATGGAGGGGCCCCATGTGGACCATAGGAGGAGCTGATCCATGAGGCTTGTCTGAGACTGGAAATTGCCAAGAAGGCTTGTACACCCAATCTTCTGGAATAGTGATAATTGTTTTATGTTCCTGACTTGGAAGGTTTGTTAGTGGAGCATATTTTGTTGACCCAACAAACATTGACACAGAAGGAGGTCGGTAGACAGCAAGGGTCTGCGTTGGTTCCTCTTTAATAGAGATACCAGAAAGTTCGTGTGTGTGCAGGAGCCTAGGTTCCTCAATACGCTCTTGCTTGGTTGTGATGACCTGCGATGCTGCATCATCCAAGGCAGTATCATGGTCAGGGTTGTGCTCATGGGACGGGGGTGTTGGAAACATCTTGGTCAGCTCCACAAGACTTGCATTCACACTGGCTTTGTTATTGCCGCCTCCACTACTTTTATTGTTGATGACGGCAGCAGTGTCGTCAGGTCCTCCAGAGGGTTTATTAGACCCAGGTGGAGTATGGTCTGGGTATGTGGGCTGAAATACAGATGTTATGTGAAAACTGCAACAATGAAATTTCACTCTATTACTAACTTTATGCAGAGACCTATAAGAAAGAAATCAGGATGTAAAGAACAGACACAATGATACCATAGGCAGCAAAAGGCTTCTACTGGAGAGTATAGTCTGTATCTCTAAGAAATAACTGAGTAGGCAATTGGTTTGAGGTTAAATGATCGAATATGATTATGTTATACTGGCAAGGTAGCAATAGTTACACCCATTTAAAAATGATGAAAAACATAATGAATGCAATGAATGTATTAATGTAATATTTAAACACTAACGGAAAAACGTGAAAATTACAAACATAGACAAAAAACGGGAATATGTGAGGTACAAACAAGAGAATGGAATGAGTTTGACAAATGGATATTGTAGATGATTAAGAAAATTTTCCATATGGATGCACATATTTAGATGGTAGTATTCTAAGGATAATGAAAAGGAAGCAAAAAAAAAAGTGTTTAAAGCTATAGACATTACCTGACTTCAGAGAAAAAAGAAACATACAAAATGAGATGTTTCATTAATATTGTGCAATTGAAACAATCTCAAGAGATAAAAAGTGGAACTGCTACTGATTTCATTATATATTAGCAATAATTTAAATGATTATGCTTACATCATCTGCAGCAGAATCTGAATCAAAGATTTCATCCAGATCTGATAAAGATGGCTGAAGTCCTTCAATTGTGTACAAATTTCCAGTTTTCTTTGGTTGAGAAGGAGAATGAGGGTCATGTGATGACCGAACACTGCCAGGAGTTTTAGCTTCCTCTTTATCGAGCCCATCTTTTCGTTTATATGCCTCCTGAGTGGTGCCAGATCCAAGGTCATCATCAAAGTCATATGGGTCAGCTTGTCTCTTGATACCACATGGACGATTAGCAGGTAACCCATTCATTTCTGGAATCTGGTAACACATATTTGATTAGAAAACAAATTTGATATATTAATTACTCTTATGTCACTGAAGATACATCCATTAGCTGTTCCATTACACAAGTCTAAACTACATACTGTACTTTAACCCTATAAGTGCTATCATCGTCTTCGGATGATTTACGACAATGTAATTATAAGTAACTTACCTCTTGCCCAATCTCTGGTCTAAAAGGTTCCATGTGTTCCTGGATGTGAGCTGGTCTGTATGGTGGCCAGAGAGGTTCTTCAACTTTAGGTTCTGTTGGTTTAAACTTCTTAACAGGATGATGAAGCCTGAAAGGAAATTGGAATACACATTACTCTATGTAGATAGTTTCCCTCATTATGATGAGCATTCATTTAATAATTTTAAATTTTGCTAATTTGAATAAGTACTGTAAAAAAGTTCAATTACATTTTTGCTTTGGTTTCAATCTTGTTATCCCTGATAGACTTGCCATTCTGCAACTGTGATACTAAATTATTGAGTAACAAGCAGACACCAAAATGTTAACAAGCAGAGGGGTGCAACTTTTCAACACCAAAAAGTTAAGTAACAACAAATATACAGTAACACTAACCAAGCATTTAATTTGGTGTAGTCATACAGGACGGTGCTGGGTTTTTCCAATTCCAAAAGGGAATGGTAGTCAGTGCCAGGAAGAGATGGTCGTTTCAACCCTCTTATAGACCCATTGCTGCTTCCAACTCCACCCAAACTGCTGCTGGTCTCGTTTGATTCAATGCCATTCCCTCTGTCACCTCCAGCATACGGAGACATACCCTGTAAAAGTTAATGTTCGTGAAAAATCTCGTCATTAATATTCAACAATAATTCTTTGTATTTGCTGAATAAAATGAAAAAAAATTCTATAATTCAAAATTAAGTATAAATTGGAAAGAACATTCAAGATAAGTAACCAGAAGGAATAGTGATCATTAAACAAACATCTATAACTGCCTCTCAGCTGCCACAAGTGGTGGCCTATGATCATAAAAAATGAGAACTTAATGAAGAGGAGGATATGATCAGGAGAGAAATAAACAAAAGAAGAAAAGTACAGGAACAATACAGAAAACAACAGAAAATTACTAAAAAGCAAATCTGTAACACTCTGAACACACTCTCTCATATTCTGAACTTGTGCACAAAATGAATCATTAATCTCCATACTGTTCACAACACTTCCAAGCAATTCACTGAGCACACCATATGGAATCATCAAACTACTTTGAAATACTCTTAACATTCAATGCCATAATATCCTGCCCATGGGGGATAGTTATAGACCTTTTGTGAACTCTACTTTGTAATTCTTTTGCACTACTGCTCACAGGATGAGTATGGTATGCACAATAAACTAGCTGCTGTAAGTGGCAATATCAAAAAAATAAATAAATAAAAAAAAATTGTAAACTAATTCATAATAATACTGTACTGTCACATGACACTCTTATCCACTTTGTTGCTTAAGGACTTTTTTAATGCCACACATTTCTTCTGAGTTTCTTTATTAACATTCCCTTACATCATCATTTTATATTTCATATTTCTGTCCATTCCTACATATTCACAATATTCATTTCATAGATTTTTATTTTTTAAGGTATGAAAAAGTTATGTTAACTACTATAAATCTTTACCAACTGTTACTTCTGGAAGCTTTTCTTTGGAGAATGGCCAAATGTTGCCTTTCTTGATTTCCAAGGTTTACTCACCTGGTTGTTAGGCGAAGATTCAGATTTTGGACCCATGAGGTCTGAGATGTTGGGTTTCACATCTAGTGAATCAAGGGGTGCAGGAGTAGAAGGGTCACCAACTGATGTATTAGATGGTGGTGGGTGAGGACTTAATGTTGGCATGGTGGGGTCTGTGGAGAAGAGATATTTAACTTTTTAGATTAAACTACGTATACAAAATAAACTAGGCAATATCTACTATTCACGTAAAATACTTAACAAACGTTTACACACATGATTTAAAAAAACAAAAACGTGGAAGAATTATCACGGGGAAAGGGAAAGGGTCTCTTCTATCTATGGTTCATATTTTTGGCCAAATTTGGGTATAGCACCACAAAGTTTTCAATCACAGATTTTTATACATCACATCCTTACTTATTATATTACTACATACTTCACATCCACCACAGCCTATAATATTTGTTAAAAACTTGAGAACAGATGAAAAACTGACACCACATACAACCTGTGCCATAGGTGGTACTCTACTGGAATATGTTGCAAGTTCTTGTTCCAAGCTCATCTTGTCACCCTTTTTGGGAATGCTCAGAGAATCTACCCTTATGCAACATTAACCTGTCTTACATTATCACAGTGGTTTCAATGAAAGTTAACAAAAGTTGTCAAGTCCTTTCCATAGTCATTGTGATAACTGGTGGCACATTAAATAGACCCCAGTCCTAATAGGCCTTAACCCTACAGGGTTCCAACCTAGCCTAACCATTAGTACTGTATTGTGGTAAAGTCCTAAATGGGCCACAATCCTAGAGGTTTTGGTTAGTTAATATGAGGTCCCACTTGACCTACAACAATGAAAACCTACCATGATGAGGCACAGATGAAGGTTGTGAATGAGGTGTAGGAAGAGGTGATGGTGTTATAGATGCAGGGGAGTCTACTGAAGGGGGGTGCCCATCAGCAACTCCTGTTAATCGTAAGCTAGGTACACTCCCTGGAGTGGTTACGCCTCCACTTTTGTAGCCTCCAAACCCCCCACTTCCATTACCGCCACCAGGTGTTCCAGCCCCACTCAACCTGTTGAAAAAATTACATTATAAATCTTTGAAAATTTCTTCCAGGATTTGTTATACTATAAAATTTGTTCTATGATTTGACTAAATTTAAAAAGTTTGATGATTAAATATGAGACTTCATAGCAATAAGCAAATTGTTGAAACTTTGCTTTATGTAACAAAAAAATTTATTCAACTAAAACTATCAGTAAAGCAATTTTCCAATTAAACATAATGTGGATATAAGAGCAGTTTGCTAAAATGACACTCAAATACTAGGTGACTGATTAAAAAATTTCTTTTTTCATAAAACAATTACTTGATACAGCAAGGTATTGTAAAAAATAATCATAGCCAAAGGAATAATAACTAAACATGTAACATGCAACACAACTGGTGAGTTTACAAGAAATACTTTTAATTACTAAGGAGAAGAAAAGAAAATCTGACTGACAACAGAACAGTCTCTGCCCCCACCCCCCAGTGTACAGCTGTGAGTTCATGGTGAGATCTACCAACACATTTTCTATTCTTCTATTCTATCAATGTTTTTATGAGCAAAACTCAAAGCAATTTCCTAACCTTTGATTTTCTTAGTACAGTACAGTACTACTGTACGAGTATAATGTATTTTTCTTGGTTTATATCACCACGGTGGGTTTTTCCTTAACCTTTCAAATATGTATACCTGTATACCATACAATTTATGGTATATGTCTATATAATCTTTGTTACTAAGTACAAAAATCTGAGAGGGAGAACTAATTCACTGAAAAAGGAAGTGAGTCTCATAGGCCTAATGAACTATGGGAGGCAGTCTGGATACAACAAACTGAATACTAAGACTTTTCTTGCTACACATGGAGGCAGTAAGGCATGCACAACACTTGACCATCTTCACTTCCCCAAAAGTCAGGTACCCATTCACAGCTGGGTGGATGAGAGTGCCCTGGAAATGAACTAATGATTCTTAAGAAAGAAACTTAAGTATTGTATCCACTTGGTAGTACAGGGGGTACGTGTTTCCTTTGATGCCAGTCAACTAGGAACTGAATTTCAAAATGGCAGACTGACCAAGAAATGAAACCAGCCTAAATGCCAAGTGTGCTAACTGGATATACTATATGCATAAGGAGCTACAAGACTTCCTGCTTCTCAAGATCAAGTGTCACACATAGTCATCCTTTAAAGGTTGTTGGTATGATGGGTAGTGGATGTTGATTGTTTTACCAAAGTAATCTAACAGATCAACTCAGTTGGTTTATGGGTGCATGCAAGAAAAATGGCATTTTGTCAGATAATACCATATTAAGCATAATGGAGTGGGAGAAATGAGCAGAGTCTATTGATGTACAGTAATGGTGATTTAAAATGAATATTAAAATAAGTAATCTGTCATGGTAATCTAAATCTCACTCTTTCATGCCCTTTCCCTTCAATTGCCAATCACTCATTCATTCTTAAAGCTGTAACAGACATTACCTCTAAAACTTGCAATCATATGTATAACTATATTTTTCATTTACTATAGTTTTAAAACAGGAATGTGGAAAAGACAACCAGACAGCATCCCCCCCCCCCCTGCATGGGTACTGACTAAAGTGCTATGAGACTGAGATATCAGGAGTGTGTACAATATAATAATCAAAGGTAACACTTAATAATTATAAATGTTAAAAGGTCCTTCTAAATACTTTGAAAAATTTATGTACATTCCAGCTTGAAAAGTACAGGGTGTCCATAAATGATTACCCTGATTAAAATATGTAGATACCAAGTCAGCTACCAATCATGAGAGCAAATGAGGTGGGGTCTGTGTTGCTCTTGACTCTAGTCACTGTACACCAAGGAGGGAGAGAGCTATCTTGGGTACAGGAGGAATACTGATCATTGATAATAGAAAGTGGTTCACCAACACCATATGCAAACTTGTCTGAACAACGTAACCTAAATTAATAGTAAGACAGCAATCTTCACCTACAGGTATATCCATTACACTAATTCCCATTTTAAGCTGTGTCCTTTTCATGAATCGCTTACAAATCCCACCATTGGCATAGTCAATAGAATGGAGGGAGGGGGAGAAAAAGAGAGGTGTATCAATATGCACAATACACCCTATGATCAATGTGAGGTTAGTCCTTCAGTTATGATCTTGATCAGGGTACACACTTCCTCCCCACGGCACCAGGCCAGTAATGCAAAAGGCCCACAACTGACTTGTGACCACTGTGATCTTGACCTGGGAGTTATTCATAACAAAACTGTCTTCCCAATATTATCCTTCCTGTTAATTATAAATAAAACACCTTTCTAATTCTAAGGCTGTAGAGCAATAGTATACCTCTATACATTTGTTTATAATAAGTATATGAGAAATCAGTAAATGTTTCCAATCTGAACTAAACAATAAAGCATGCACCACTTTGACACAACTACATTACATCATGCTTGTCATATTTTATGTAGCCTATGATATATTCAACAACTATGGTACCTTGTAATGATACAAGAGCATAAATACATTACACAGGCAAGAAACATAGAGGACAGTAAAGAGAAACTGTTACAATATAACATAATGGCAGACATAAATAGTGACATGAATGATGAACTTGCGAGCAAACTTACAAATGTACTCAAGAGTCCGAATGCAAATAATTCAAAGGGGATCAATTCCATCTACAGTACTAAACTTCCCTGCATCAACCTTACTCTTCTCAGCTCTTTATTTGTTTGTTATTCCCTCTACTATATTATTTATTTTATAATTAACTTTAATTTGCAATAATTAATATTCAATCGGCTAGGTTAAGTTTAATGTGCAATACTGTACTGAGTATTTAAACAGTTATACATCAATTATTCAGGTTAGAATGTAAAACACTCTACTGAAATTTCTAAACTAATTATCTAATTTGCTTTGTCAGTGTCATCTGCGTCTATTCATTAGCAACAATGTTCTTCAAATTATATTGTCCTTTCTTAATTTTTTTTAAGAAATACAATACCATAAAGTTTTATAAATCTTTGGAATGTCCATGGGAGACTTTACTTGCTGAGGAAAGGAAAGCTCCAACTGCCAATTTTCTCAACAGTGCATCTCTTCCTGCCACTAGTCTTACAGCCAAAAGAACAACCTCCCTTTAAACACTAGTCTCTGCATAGACTCATCAACTGTAATATCCTCTCTTTCATATACTGTACACACAATCTTCCTTCATCTATCCAGCTCACTATCGTTTTTTAATTCTTCCTCGTCCTTTCTTGTTATGCTAGAGGAAGGGGACGGAATAAAAGCAGAAACAGATTCTCCTTTCCCTTGATGCCATCCAATCACAATATAGTGTGAAGATGTTTTGAATAAAGACGAAAGCTAAGGTGCTCCGTTGTTTCCCTTTTCCCGTGTGATTTTATCATATATATATATATATATATATATATATATATATATATATATATATATATATATATATATATATATATATATATATATATATATATATATATATATATATATATAATGTGACCTTTAATTTTTTAGTTAAGTTCCCTTACAAGGAATACCTAAAGGACAGTTACATACACCACACTGACCTACACCATATGCATATTTCTCTTTTTTGGGGGAAGGGGGGGGGAGAGGGATGAATGAATGATAGTGCAGATGAAAGTTGGAAAAGATGTAAATGGAAGATAAGATACTAAAAAGAAGTTTGAAGGTTGGTGGGGGGGGGGTATTTATAATGTGGTGACTTAGAAAGTCTAAAAATAGATTTAAAAAAAATAGGAGACAAAACTGACAATTTAGCCATTAAAAGTGGACACCTCCTTCACTGTGATACAACAAAGACTAAGGGGCCATAACTCCAGATAACGAGGACACAAAATGTGTGGATCATGTAACTCATATAATTATAGTATATCCACACCCTATGCTTGGTTCAGATTGGCACTATTTGTTTGAGTTGATGAGTTTAAAAGCAGTAGTTGCACAGGATGAATGCAGTCCTTGATTTCCCTGTGGGATCAATGAATGGGTGTGTGTGGGAAAACTTCTGTGGATCACCACTTCCAAATTACAGGAAAGCCTATCATCTTCTCAGGTCTCAAGTTATAAAAAAAAAGGATTCTAAGCTTTGTACAACCCTCATCTCTGTTTGAGCTTCCAAAATACACACCCTGAAGATTGCTACCAAGAATATTCCAATGCAAACCATTCAGCCCGCTATAAATTTTAAGTGCAATAACAAAATGCAACATCAACCTTTACAGGGTCTTAGTTTAAGTCATGGTGTCCACAAAGTCTGAAGCACATACACACACTGACAAATGGCTGACTATATGTAGTGATGGACAAACTTCACTTTGATATATTAGCATATTAACTTGTCTAAATCACTTAAAGCCTCGCAATTCCAAAGCTCTTTATAACTTGAGTAAACCCTGTATAGTAGGATCAGTCTTGTTTAATATAAAAAGTGACAAAACACAAACAACAATAGTAAATTACTGTACTGTACAAGAAATGAGTCAAACACAAGGGAAGGTTTATTTCATGAAGAGAAATTCAAAATAAGTTTTGAATAAGAAAAAGGGACTAAGAGCACACAGTGGCCTGTTAAGAAGATCGTTTTATTTGTAAATAAACTGATTTGGCAATTAGCTTCAATGAGACGCATCATTCTTTACAGGTTCCCAATTATGAAAGGCTCATATGATAATTTTTTCTTGTACCTTAAATGTTAGAACACACCACCTGAAAGGACTATTGCTACAGCACAAAAATAATACTGTATACCAAATAGCAACTCCACAAGATGTGTTGTCTAAGCATCGGCTATAGAAAAAAATAAAACAAAGAATCATAAAGAATCTAGATCCAGGTCCCCCAAGCACAACTGATTGGTATCATAATGCTTGTTTGATAAATACTTTATCTTTTAAGATGTCAACAGGTATAGTTCAAGTACCATAATTAAATTTACTAAAAATTCTCCAACAGTTACTTAGAGGGGAAGTTAAGAAGAATAAAGGGCCAGACTTGCTGGTTACATGACCCTCAATCCTAACTGGTTCTAACCTCTCAAACCAAACCATTAAAACTATACTGTACTCCTGTTCTAATGAGTAGTAACCCTAACCAGGGGCAAACTACTGGTAGAAATATCAAGGTAGAGAGTGTGTCAGGAAAGATTAAGAAAACTCAATTTACAAAATTCAATTAGAAAAGCAGAACAAACTTAAAAAAAAAGATTGGTTACCAAGTTTCAGGAAAAAAAAATTTAAATGAATAAATGAAATATTACCACAAAATATTGAAATATAAGTATCTATTTAGATGTTTTAGTGTGAATGTGTGTGTTTGTCTTAGTACAGTAGAGTAGTAAGAAAGAGACTGAAAAAGTTTATACAGTAATATATATATATATATATATATATATATATATATATATATATATATATATATATATATATATATATATATATATATATATATATATATATATATATATATATATATATATATATATAATTTGCACCTAGCTGACATGAGGGAAAAAATCAAGATATAAACAGTGTTGAAAATCATAAGCATAACTATTCAGTGGATGGAATGGATGATGGAGTGAAAGCAATACCTTTGTGCTTATTTATAAAGAATTAATACTGTAAATTAAGAGTGAAACAATAATTATTTTAAATCTCTGGCTATGGGATGGCAGTGTTATGAAGGAAACTGGTAATGTGGTGGTAGTGAGTGAGCGGTGGTACCTGGCAGCAGCCTGGATTAGTTCGGATTCCTCGATGGCTGCCACACCACACTGGTCCAGGACCGCTTCATCATGCGAGGGTAGGGGAGTTGGAGGGGGCCGCTTGTGGAAGGGGGCACTGCCAGTCATGGAGCTGCCCCCCCGGTGACGCCCGCTGCCCCCACCACTTTTCTCTCCCCGGCCCTTACTGCTGCTACACCCTTTACTATTGACCCGACCCCTCCTGCATCTGCAACGGCCAGTTCCACAAACACTCAAAACCAGGGCTTTCAACCCAACTTTTGGTGTCAGGTATAACCAGTTTTGAGAGAAGGATAAACTAGGATGCTATCAAACTTTTAGCCTTGAAGAAAATCCCCACTTTTTATGGTTCATAAGAATATCATTCAATTCACTTGATGCAAAATTTAACTATCTGACTATGTGGAGAATTTGCTAGAAAATTAATACTGGTGTTATGGATATAAAACCTAAATATGTGTGGTGGTGGTGGTGGTGTGCTCAAGGAAGTCCTCATAAGTGAAAAAAATAGTGAAAGCCACTAGCACCCATAACTCATGTTTCCCATGTCACATTCATTTAACACACACACACCTATCAACTTGTTTTGATTCATGCAGTAGCAAGTAATCCCACAACTGCTACGCTCATGAAAAAGTTATCCCTTACATTCAGACGTCAAGTGATATAAATAAGATCTGGGATGAAACATTTCTCTGGCTTATTAAAAAAATTAATTCAGTTTACACAACCAACTAGTCTCAAGAAAATTAATGTTCCAAAAATTCCTCTTTGGTGTATATATAAGCACACATTTCCCACATTCACAGCAGGAAGGTCCATGCAAGATATTCCTTAAATTACCACCCATCTCCACACACTCTTAGTGCTAGCAACTTTTAACACAACACTAAATATATTTGGTGGTAATCCTAAAGCCTTCTAACACAACCTTAATATTTATAATCTTTATAATTATTTTTCTTTCAGAATTACTAAATATTACTCTTTTGGGGAAACAAAATGTTGACATTAGAAAAAATGAATATTAAACCGACTTAAGTCACAATAAATATGAATGCAAATAGCAGCCTCAAGTTAATATGTGGCAATGTGTGGTACTAAAGGATTGAAGCATCTATGAAAGATAACATGAACCAAACTTCCCTAACCTAAAGATCTCTGACTATTTACCTTTAGATACTGTACTGTAGGTCAAAATTAAATGGTCAGGTTTGGTTAGTCAAGTAAGGCCAATTTGGTTCATGTCATTTTTAATAAATGGTTTAATGCTCTAGTGTTCATCAACATCTGTAAACAAACACTCACTGCTGCTTGCCCTTTGGAACTTAACACATATTTCTAAATTTAAATTCCTTCTTTTTCTAATGTCTACAACATTCTGTAAAATAAAAGAGCTTCACTATTACTGATTAATAGAAGATTTATATATGAGGTATTTGTTATCATGTACTGTAAGTGTAGTTGTAGCTGTGATTCAGGTGTAAAAAAAGAAAGCGGACATAATCTAGTCTACCTGAACACATGTGAGACAGCAGAAGTAAAGACTGGAAAATATTGAGCAAGGAAGAAATAAAAATATGATATGGGAAGATAAATAGAAGAGAGTATTCTTTGAATGATTCTGTTAGAACTCCTACAGTTTGTGACAGATTGCCCACTAAAGGGTGCATGTGAATGTATTAAGTACAGGAACTACCAACACAAACAATGAAGATTAATTTATGTCACATAACCAAGGTTATTTTAACTTCAATTAAATCTATCTTGAAGCATTCCCTGTCTAGGAGGCAAGACTTTGATGTTAAAGCTATGCTTCTGTGCCCTTGTCAGTTTCCAATATTGAAATATTTAAATGAATAAAAACTACTTTATTTGGGTAAACTCTTTATGATTTCTTGACTCTTATAAGGGATATAATGTCAGCCGTGTGTTTGAAGATAAATATCTGTTTCAAGAAAAGTAAATGTGTTTCAAATCTTGGAACTCTTATATTCTGGTGAGGAGATAAAGCAACCTTAATTACCCCAATCAAACTTGCACTCACACACACTCCGCTTTTATCTAATCTTTGGTAATAATGCTTCTGCATTTTACCAATATCTAAGCCAAGAGCAGTTATTTTTTTTTCACTGTTTAATAAAAAACTACGTTGGTGTGTAACTCATATTCAGTGCACAATCTTATGACACATCCTAGTAACTGTACTACAAATATTTTTTTCTCTTCTTTTCTGAATTCTCTCTTAACGTCAGCCAACACATGTTCCACATCAGCCACCTAACATTCCTACATGTACTGTGTGTATATGTGGATTCTCACTAAAATTTTTAAACCACCTTTCACTCATCCCCAAACACTAAAACACTTGAAAAGCTTTTTTGAAATTAGTTGGAAAGATATATAATTAAAACAAACAAATCTCTACTTTTGTTGTTTCATAACTAATTAAATAAAATGAAAAGCTTATGAATTTTTAGATGATATTCTTGTATAGTTCATACATTTTCTTTATACTGTACTGCAGGTGGAGAATGAATCATACTGAAGCAAAATAGTGGGGGTTCATACAAACTGGCAGCAAATACTGCATTTACTTTCATGCTTCATGCACTGAAGAGAATGAGAAAAAATGTCAGTCTAGATCAAATTTGTGACAATCTGAAAACAACATACATTTATCTTCCATCTATATCATGCAACAGTAACTATATTACAAATCATAAAGACATCCATATCAAAAGATAATTTGCATAAAATAAGGCAAAATTAAGATTTTTTCACAACAATTAAAATAAAATTTAAGTTACTAGGTGTAGATATAAATAATCTCAAGTACTCTAACTGCATTCTAAAGAAATACAAGTTGGTGTCTTAGCAAAATTACAAAAACTGAGATAATCGTACTTGGCACAGGAACAACTGATCTTTGTAGCCGGGTCGGAGAAGTCCCATTGACCAGCAATTTCAGCAGGTGTTAGTGTCCCCTCGGGAGAGAGACCTTCATGCTGCACCGGTGGTTGCTGACCTGGGCATTGTACTATATCTTGCCAGACACGTTCACACATTCCGCGTGACCACCCCAAACCTCGCCCACCAGAACTTAGATACTCTGAGGCTAGTAAGGTATGAGTTGAGGCTGTGAAGGGAGAATTATGGGTGGAGAGGTTTGACCCCTCGCTAGACTCTGAAGTGCCTTCACTTGTTAGCCCACCCTTAAGGCCCCCTGGAGCCATCTGTCCTATATTTATAATACTTCCACCACGACCAGCCATCAGATAATCATCCATGTCTGTCACTAACACATAGCACGTTGGGTAGCGCATCTTGTGGCCTCCTAAAAAGACGAGAATTTCTTGTTAGAACAAAAGAAAAAAAATTATACATTTTTCCTTGTATGTATATAAAGTAGTACTGTATATAATCATTCCCTAAAGAGGTGAAATATTTATTTTAGAATATAATAGATCTTCAGACTTTGCAAAATTATTTAAATACATAAGTTACATTCACTACTGTACATTATGCTACATTACTGCAGGGAGCAATATTTATTAGGTAAGAATGTCAAAAGGCATGACCTATAATCTTTCAAACCATAAAATAAATAGTAGCTGTTTATGTTATGACCAGAATATACAGTACAGTATAAGCCTTTTTTCTTTAATGAGCTTGAAAGCAACATCAATGTCCAAATTTAACTGAATGAAAGTACAGGTATTTATCAAATACTACAGTATATATATATAAAGCAAATCAATTTAGACAGTGTTTTACTGAAGTGATTAGGTTTTTCACTGGCCACCAAAAGGTAGCATCATCCAAAACATATTACAAATGGCAAGTAATCCAAAAGTGAAGAAGAAAATCAGTTGAGATACTGTATGTTTACTATCATTCCAGAGGAGGGAAACATCACCCTCATACTGTACAACACAGCATGATGCTAGAGTAGGAGAGCGGACTCTGATTTTAAAGCAATATAGATTACTGTTTGGAAACAAGGACATCCTCCTCAAAATGCAAATGTCAGATTTAAATGTATACTGAGTTTTTATCAATGAGAGATGTGAGAATGTGGAGGAATAGACATAAATCAATTTCTAGAGGCACTGCACTGGATTCATTTAATGTAGTTAATTCATAATCTTACTGTTAAGTTCATCGGGCAAAGTTTCTCTTTCTATATTTTCTCTCCTCTAATGTGCTTTGACATTATGGTCACATTAACCTAGGTGATCATCGTATCATTACAAATCTTCAAAACAGTTAATACTTCTCAAATACCTTCCACAGCCACTATTCTTAATGCATGTCAACATGGATCCAAGTCAAGCATAAACTACTTTGAGAAACCAGTCATGACCTTTCGATGCTCTCCAACCTCTGACAATGGGTAACAGCTCTGTCTCACACTGTACAGTAAACTGTATGTGTTATTAATTCTATGTAAAACATGAAATAGATCAATAGTCACTTGCATGTTACTGTCAAATTCATGTTAGGTACTGCATCCATCTTCCAACGGAGTAATAATCAAACACTTGTATACTATAAGAATGATGAAATATTTTTACAATAGTTTGAACTCATTTTGGATAATTATGAGTTCCAAAGCCTCAGAGAGTAAAAAAAAAAATACAAGAGGGGATGTAATTGCAACCTCCCTCTTACGAAAAATAAAATTTGCATGTACGGCACTGAATTTGCACGAACTTCAAAAAATGACAGAGACTCTTGGAAGGAACTGGATACTGTACTGTCATGTATGCTTACCTACAATAACTTCAACAGCTGCAGGGAGAGAAGGCTCCAAAGAGTCAGTGGGTGGGGCTTTAGTTTCAACAGGGAAAAATTGCCTCCACTCCTCTAACAACTTTTGTATAGGAGGTTCAGAATGGCGGTAACTTACACCAGTCAATGTACCATTAAGCCCATAAGGTCCCAAGATCACTGGAAAAAATTAGGAATATTAATCTTGACTGAACACAACAGAGTTTACAAATGTCATAGAAGAATAATTCAAAGTAAACTATGGAAAACATGATAAATTTGTTCCCCTTATTTCCTGAATATTAACGAAATCTGTCGTTTTATGTAAATCACCTCGATGACGATTTCCTCCATGGAGTAGCCATGAATAAGTGCCTCCACACTTCCCATCACTACATTTTCCTATATATACCACAAGGTTCTGTTCATCACTACCTGTTCTATACCCCTTTACCTCACTTCAATATATGTATTCCTTTAAAGTAAATAAACTGTTTGGCAAGTTTTTTTTTCCAAGATTCTCCATTGCTTCACTTTTCTTGCTCTTTTATGAGATTTTCCCAAAAAATTATTTGCCCTGGTTTATCTCTCTATTTTGTATCTGCTTCTATTTCAAAAATGTTATAAAAAGACAATATATTAGTAGAAAAAAGTAAGATCATAATGTCAAATCCCCTCGGGTCATTTTTCTTTAATCAGCTACACTAATTCCAAGGCATAAATTTCTTAAAATATTGTACACCAATTTGAAAAGTTCTTAATTAAAATAACCCCACCAATGAACTTAGCTTACAGTACCTGGTATGCCATGGTTTGTCTGCTGTGCTAACAAGAGATGACGTCGAGTAAGTTCTCTTACTGGGGGATGCTGCCGGACATCTACACTTGCGCAAACAATGCTCTCACCGTGAACAAAGAATGACAGGCTAAATGATAAGTGAGTACTGAAAGTAAAGAAAGTTAATGTAAGACACCAACATCTTAATAAAATAACTGAGCCATTTAACGTATCACATATAAATAAAGTGCAGTACTTGTATATTCATAAAAAGCTCATCATTACTTAGGCTTAGGTTCTAAAGTAGAGTACAGTTCTGGCTTCTCACAAAAATACTGACCTACTGCTCCCGGGGATACCTTCTGGGCCTTCGTATGGTTGCACAAACCAGCGACCCAACCTCACGAAATCCCGAGTTAAAAGACATCTGAAACAAATACAGTACACATAAATAGTTTGGTTTATCCAAGTTTTTTTCTCTTAAATAAAGAAAGACCAAATTGTATTTACAATCCCACTCAATGGTGATCAGTCCTATACAATACTGTATGTTCCTAATAAGCAGTTCTGTACTGTACAATTTGTGATTAGTTAAAGACACAAGAAATTAAAGCTTGTCATAAATTTTTCTCAAAACTCTGCCATAAATAGCCAAAGCAAAATTTCTTAATCTATCCAAAGGTCCAATTGTTTTTCAAAATGACTACAGTACCAAGTTTGGTAGGGAGAGGATTTCTAGTTTTTGAGGTAATGAAGATAAGAAGCTTAAGACATTTGAATGAACAATGCCATCACATACTTCATTGCGTTTAAGAAGGGTCTATAACAAAAACTGGTGTTCTCTTGGAATGACATAAGGAATGCAAGAGTAAGGGATGTTGTGGTTAAAGAGTGGAAGGCAGTAATTATAGTGATAGAGACGGAAAGAAACACTTCAGGGAGATGATGGGAATGTACAGGTACCGTACTGGAGAAGAGAATTACGTGCTAGTAACGTTCAGTACAGTGTTAACAATATATATATTTTTTTAAATCCTGAAAGAGCAGATTACTCTATGTGCAGTGGAGGAGTTCACACATCCATTTAATTCAAGAGATGACAAGTCAGAGAGTATAGTGATATTAAATGAAATAAATACTTCAAGGTTTGCAGTATACACGGGAAGTGCAGAGGTATCGATAATGTGTTAAATGAAATAATTGAAGGTGTAAGATGTTGCAAGTCAGGAAGTATTCAGTAACATGTCAGAATTATTGAGGACCCCAGTCAGTTGGGTGTGGTTGGAAACGAGTAGGATATTGACTGATCACATATGAGGCATTACAGAACTGCTTGTATGTGTGAAGAACAGAGAAGTTTCAAGAAAGAGAGAAGGTGTATTGATCAATGTTTGGGTTCAGGCAAGAGGGAAAGAGAAGCATAAAAAAAGAACAGTATTGTCCTGTGTTTAAAGATACAAGAGAGTAAAAATCCAATGTTTAAAACAGTAAGTTCAGTACAGTACAGTAGTAGAGAAACTTAGAAAACAATATACAGTGCAGTGTATTGTTCTTATATGTTTAAATGTACATGAAGGTCTACTGAATGCTGTCAACAGTTTTTTTTATGGAAGTATAGTTCTGTGAATGAAAGTAGCATGTACAGTAGCTTAAACAACTATCTGTGCAGGTGGGGGTCGATATGCTCCGAAATTTTATGTGTGACTAGTGACAGCCCTCATATACCAAAATTTATCGTCCAGGGTCTCATATTGTTTCCCACAAAGTATGAAGAGATAGTTGTTTTAGCTACTGTACGTCCGAGTTAATGATGGTACAGTATACGGGAGAGCAGGACCTCGGCGCCATCAAACAAAAGCTAGTCACATCTACTACACACTGATGATACTGTGGTGTAAGCCACATCAGGGGGTGCTGTAAGCCACATCCGAAGATGATGTGGGAAGACCAAAGTTACAGTATATTCACAAGAACTTTAACAAATAAGAATATCATATTATGGGTAAATACAGGAATGAACAATATCATGACGCAGGAAAGGGAAGGGCACAGTCTCAGTGGAATGGCAGTATGAAGGAAGAAGTGTTGGAGGTTGTGCAAGAATTTGGATATTTAGGACCAATGTTGAACACTGGTGGAAATGGAAAGGGGAAAGTTAAGTGTTTGTTAAAAGAGATAAACTGACTACAACCTTACCGTTCAATGAGGTTATGGAGAGCCTTGAAGAGAAGTGTTCGGCACTCATAGGACAGACCTGTTTCCCAATCCCACGATCCTCCTTTCTCGTCTGTGATGAGAAAAAATAATAAAAAATTAACATATGCGACAACTAAATTCCAGTGAAACCATGTACCCATTAACAGACAAATTATAAGACAACATTAACTGAAGATATGTGGAGATAAATGTTCTGAACAGCTATTGGTTATAACTCGTAGGAAACCTGTGATGAAAATACTGTACAGTGCTCTACATAAAGAGCGGCTCCCAACGTCCCAGGCCTAGACCAAGTAGTTCTATTAAATTACCGTAAGTGGCGAGAGTCGCTCAGGAGACCGCTGTTGTCACCACTTGATTTGTGTGTCAACAGTACACTTACAAACACTTCTGGTTCCATTGTTTATACACTTGTATTTGTATTCCATGTGATAATACACCTAACCCACAGTTTTCCAGTCATTAGGCCTATCACTCCCCCACTATTATTTGGTACTTCCTTACTTGTGATTCTCCCCCAAGTCTACAATTATTTCCAGAAAATTAATTATTTTAATGACTGTACTTAATCAGACATTCTACTGTCACAACTTTACACCAGAGTGTAAGGTTACAACACTCCTAACAAGCCTCAGCAAATCTTATGATTTTTTTCCTTTGTTAGCATATTTTAATCTCCAACGTTCTCTCACACTGTAAGCTCACTTAACAATTAACTATACTGTACAGGTAATTAAAACACCACCACTGAAATAAGGTCACCACTGTATTTTACCTCATAATTCCCACTTCCATCTAGTTCAAATTTCTTAAAACGCTCCTATTCAATATTCCATATAAAGAAAGTTCCACCGTGTGTGTGTGTAGGTAAGTGTCCCAGAGAGTGTCAACAGGAGGTGGTGGGTGTGTGGGGAGGACAGGACAGCTCTGCTACAGTACACGCCCGCGATCAATGTACCAACAACTACACACAAGTCCTACCATACGTGTTACTCTTCCATCTCCCTTATTTAACCCCAAAACAAACATCATCATCTCGCTATAAACACTCACATTACAGCCTCAACATTCGGCCGCACAAAATATCAGTGACACAGTAATTGTATGGAATGTTATAGGGATTGTAAACGACGTGGAGTACCAGGTATGACGGTCAGCCACAGGTAGAAACATGTTAGTAGGCCATGAATGATGTTTGGAGAATATTTTACGGTGAAAAATCTTATGAAACAAGGCCAGCATGCTGGAGTTGACTGTGGTGTGCCAGCCTTTGTCGTGAAACAAAGAAGTAAGCAGAGGTGTGGCCACAACAGAGCATGGGAAAGAGGAGGCCTCGGTGTGGTCAGTGAGACTTGCGTGATGGTGACCACCACCACCTGCCGCCCCTACATACCACTACATGCTAACCAACACCGAAGTCTACCGTCCACGCCACACACTCGCACGCACACACACACATGCTCACGTTGCCGCCACACTCACGCTGTAACGGGGTCTGGCGCGGCGGCTGCTCCACAACCCCGCTACACCACCCGCCACCCATTACCTTCTTGTTAATACGCCTAAAGTCTGTCCCACTCCTACATCCAGCCCTCTTACTTGACGCCAGTTTGCTGTGGTGGCTGACTCTGGCCGGGAATGGAGTGGGTGTAAGTCATTAAGTAACGAGCACGGGGGTGATTGTCTATTGATCTTACGTTTCTCGGTGCAGACTCCCGCCGCTGCCCCCAGCACCCACCTCCACCACCTAGCCCCCACCTCTCTCCCTCCTGCCCGCCCTCCCGCGCGCACTCCCCGACAACGTACCGGCTGTCACCCCCACCACTAACAATGATCTCCTCCACGCCCTATATTATCCGAAATAAATTTAATTTCAACTAAGACCCATAATACCAAAGGATAAGTTATGTGTACGACACCTGAGGAACAAAATAATTTAACACAATTGTTTCCCATAGTGCATCATGTGCAGCCATAACAATAGCTCCTGATAATTGTTTTGTGAAGCGTTCTTTCAAGAGGGCCAAGTTAAGTGATGCCACCATGATCAATAAGAATAATGAAAACGGTTGTTGCGGGTGAGGGAGGTCCCGGGCAGGACACGGACGAACCACTTCAGCTGCCTGTAGTGCCTGCCCTGCCTTGCCCTACACTACCTACTGTATACGCACACTCAACCGTAAATGTCCACCACCATTGACATATAACCACGGCTCCGCCCTACCACCACCACTATAATATAATACTCTTAAATTACCGGTAAATAAATTACGCAGGGTATTTCTATTCCACATTGTAATAGTGAAAACAATATTAACGATGGCTAATAATACTAGTGCCTATTTAGAACAACGATCACAAGACGAATCGCCCACAAGCTTATCTCCCTGAAGATTAAACACCCTAACGCTACCTTAGGGATTTATGTATGGTTAGGTTAGGTTAGTGTACTTAATCTTGTGAAATAAGTTAGAGGGGAACTTTAGGTGAACCCTTACAAATAATATTAATATTAACATGTGTTTACACAATCAGGGTAGGCCTGTGTTCAAGCGGAGACGCGGAGGGGGGGGGGTTAATATGTGAAATCTTTAGTGCCGAAAAACTGCCCCACAAATAAAATTTCAGAGAGAATGGCAAGGGAGCTTAAGGGAACGGGGGGGAGGAAAAAGCAGTCATAAACAGAGTCCCGTCCACACACATCCTATTCCTCAGATCCGCGACTCATCCGCCCAACGGTGACCTGTGACATTTACACCCCCACCCTCCCCTCCCCCTCCTTCACAATCAATAACTTTCCATCTTGTCCAGGGAGAGGAAACCCCCATATGTATTCATTCACCACTTGGCATATACTGATTTCCCGTACTGCACTGTGACCAATATTAATGATCTGTATATGTGTTAGTCGAGGGTGAGGAGGGGAAACTATGAAGTCTCTCTCTCTCTCTTTCTCTCTCTCTGAACTAAACACGAGTACTAATCCCCCCACCATCTCCTTACCACGCACACAGGTTAAGTCTTATTCACGCGGCGCCAGTCTTAATTACACCCAAGTCTCTCCGGGAGCTCCAACACAAACATACATCACAACACAACACAACACTCCACGCCAAACATTACCAGAGAGCGGTGTTCCTCTCTCTCTCTCCCCCCGGCACTAGTTTATTATTATTATTATTATTATTATTATTATTATTATTATTATTATTATTATTATCTTTGTCTTTAACTAAAACAATCAGAATGCCACGAAACATTCCCGGTCACCGAGTCACTGTGTTGGTAGCCGCTAGGTTAACAAGCGTCTTTGTTTCACCAGTGATCCTTAGTGAAACATTACACAAAGGTCAGTATCATACACATGTGATCCATTACAGCACTCTTGACCAACACTGAGATGAAGGTTGCAGAGTAAAGAGGAACAGAAGGTGGGTGTGCAGGTGTTGATCCCGCCCTACCTGCCCGCTCGTGTACCTGTAAACTGTACTACCAGGTGTACAAGGAGAGGCCAGCCCTTCATCACCGCCACACTACTAACATAAGAACATAAGAATGGAGGAAACTGCAGCGGGCCTATTGGCCCATACTGGGCAGTCCCATTTACACCCAACCCCTATTGCTCTTATAAGCATCCAACCTATGTTTGAAGCTATTCAGCGTATTCGAGTTAATGATGATATTTGGTAACTTGTTCCATTCATCCACTACTCTGTTTCCAAACCAGTGTTTACCTATTTCACGCCTAAATCTAAATTTGTCTAATTTAAAACCATTGTTACGAGTTCGCTCCTGGTTGGATAGTTTGAGTACCTTTGTAATGTCCCCTTTGTTTAGCCCTGACTTCCACTTATACACCTCTATCAGGTCGCCCCTCGCTCTACGTCTCTGGAGGGAGTGCAAATTAAGATGCTTTAACCTGTCTCTGTACTCAAGGTTCCTAATTCCCGGGATTAGTCTTGTCATTCTCCTCTGGATTCTTTCCAAGGATTCTATATCCATTCAGTAATACGGTGACCAGAACTGAACTGCGTAATCCAGGTGAGGTCTCACAAACGCAAGATATAATCTTAAGATGACCTCGCTAGTCTTGTAACTAACACTCCTTTGTATGAACCCAAGTACTTTATTAGCCTTGTTACGAGCAAAAACACATTGTTTACTTGGCTTAAGATTTCTACTTATCATTACTCCAAAATCTCTCTCGCAGTCGGATTTCTCTATGGCATCGTTGTTCATCTGGTAACTGATTTCCCTGTTTACATCTCCTATACTAAGTACTTTACATTTGTCCACATTGAATTTCATCTGCCATTTTTCAGACCATTCTAAAAAATTTTTTAGATCTTCCTGTAGTTTTGCGGAGTCCTCGTCAGATTTAATTACACGTCCTATTTTAGTGTCATCAGCAAATTTACTTACGTTGCTGTCTATGCACAAGCTATACTAACACAACCTGACGACATACAGATTCTTCCGTCATCCACATACTTGACTAGACAGCTGTGTGTAATTCTTGAGGGGGAATATAAGAAGCGTTAGATGAGAAGCAGGACCCAAGTCTTCGGGCGACACATTACTGGGATAGCAAGTCACCATGCGCACTATCAAGCGTGAGGGAAGAAATCAACAAAGCAAACGATCTAGGAGTTAAAGTGGTCTAATAACTGCTGGGACAAGAAAGTAATCTGTTATGTATGAGGTGAGGAGACACTTACACCAAGTCAGGGCACGACAAGCAGAGTCTGACCAGCTGTTAAGTGAGGGATCTGAGTGTTGTGTTGGGTGACTTAATCAGAGGAAGTGTTAACGCGAGCCAACGTGTAGTGTGCGATGGATTAAGCGACAGATCGACCATCTCATCAAGAGATTGGGATTGATTAGCATTAGCGTCACAGATAGTAGGTAGGTCACTGACACCGGGGGGATACCTCTAACGTTTCGTGTTTAATCATCTGTTCAGTAACCATTGCCACTGTTTAAAGGCAGGAAGGACTGTTGCCTTACACACGTAAGCCTGACGCCGCTCCTCGCCTTCACAGCCAGCTTGACTTATTGGCAACTCGGAGC